GAGTTCCAGTATATTCTTCATCCAATTGTCTTCAAACAATATCTTACGTAACCATAATACGATTATCAAAACTAGATTAGCACTGATATCACAATATTAACTAATCTAAAAATGTTCAAATCTTTCCAATCATCCCACTCATGTCCTTTTTCTGCTCCAGACTCCAATCCAGGATCCCTCTGAATAAAGTGTCACATCTCCCAGGCCTCCTCCAACCTGGAATAGTTTCTCAGTCTTTCTCCCTCTTTCAGGACCCTGACTCTTTTGAAAAGTTCTAGCCAGTTGTTTCGTAGAATGCCCCTGAATTTGGGTTTGTCCGATATTTGCAGTTACGTATTTTGGGTAAGAATACTACAGAAGTGAGGTATCCTCTGGATGTCCCAGGAACGGGCCCAGGATGTCGGTATCTTTCATTACTGATGAGGTTCACTTTAAACACGTGGTTCAGGTGATGTCTGCAGGTTAAAGTTACTATTCGTCTCCTTGTATACTCCTAATAAGTATCTTGTGGAGAGACACTTTGGAGATAGGTAAATAGCCTGTTTCTTCTCATCATACCTTTTTTTCTTGTTATTCACCAGTTACGTCATCATCATATTTTTAACATTAATTTCTAGAATCTATGGATGATTGTTTCCTATAAACAATTATTACTGCAGTGTTGGCCAAATAGTGATTTTCTTTCCAGTTTTCCTTCTACATTTATTAACCAGAATTCTGCCATAAGAAAGAGTTATTTCTTTTCTTGGCTCACTGCAACCTCCACCTTCTGGGCTCAAGTGATCCTCCTGCCTCAGTCTCCTGAGCAGCTGGCATTACAGGCACACACCACTACACCCAGCTAATTTTTGTATTTTTAGTAAAGATGGTGTTTTATCATGTTGGCCAGGCTGGTCTCTAATTCCTGGCCCCAAGTGATCCCCCGGCTTCGGGCTCCCAAAGTGCCAGGATTACAGGTACTGGCCAGCATGCCTAGCCTCTTCTTCCTTACCTATTTATTTGTTCAGTTATTTATTTACATCAGCATGAACTCATGGGTATTTATGGGTTGGAATCCATTACTATCATTTTTTATTATCTTGCTCATATTGTCCCAAAATTGGCCATCGGAAGCTCCTTCCAGTTGGCTTCTGTGACCTTTACATACAACCCCATCATTTTTTGAGCAGTTCCTTACTTTCTGATACCACAAGAAGCTTGAGTCTCCTCTTGCATTTTTCCGCCCCAGTCCTGGATTAGCTATTTCTCCTAGAAGCCCTAGTTCCTTTCACGGGAGAATGATGTTTACAGACCATGGGCACGGATATGCCCATTGCTAGTAGGTGCTAGTGCCTTGAGGCCCTCTAGTGGTCAGAGCTGGGAAATAACACACACGCACACTGGTGTACAGTAGTCTCCATTTATTTGCAGTTGCGGTTACCTGCCAACTGTGGTCCAAAAATACTGTTATCTTGAGAAAGAGAGAGAGAACACATTCACATAACTTTTATTACAGTATATTTTAAAAATTGTTCTATCCTATTAGTTGTTAATCTCATATTGTGCCTAATTCAAAAACTTTATCATAAATATCTATGTATAAATATAAACATATGTATAAATATATATGTATAGAAAAAACACAATTCGGTACTACCTGAGACTTCAAGTATCTAGTGGGGGTCCTGGAATGCATCCCCTGTGGATAAGGGAGGACTATTGTACCATTATTAACCACATCTTACAAATTAGGAAAATGAGGCACAGAAAAGTTAGGAAACTTGTCCAAAGTCACAGAGTACATATGTAGTGGATCTGGGAAACGAAAATAATGACAGATGCACCACAAATCCTAACAAGTGGAAGTAACTTATTTACACATACATATCAGCAGAAAGCCACAGCCCAATATTCCAGCATACACACTCTCTTTGGAAAATAACCAGAACTCCACAGTAATAACCACGACGGTAACCAACATGTACTCAATATCTGCCTGGGCACTGGACTCCCACAGCCGCTCATTTATTCCTAACAACTCTGCATGGTGGATTTTACCATCCTCCTTTTACAAATCAGGGATTCAAAGATTAAAGAAGCCAAGTGACTTGCCTAAGTCAACATAGTTAGGTGACAGAGCCAGTAGCTCACCCCAGGTCTATCTGGATATAAAGTCCATGCTTATGCCATTGTATCAGCATTTCCCAAAACTGATTTTAGGTGGAAAGTAAATAAGCTTGTTTTTACTTTAATACTTATGTGTTTATTTTAATACATGTTAGGAAAAAAATCTAACCATACATCAAACCTGTAATTTCAGTTAATATTGCATAGGATGAGGATGTTTTGCAAATTAAATTTATTTAAAGAAAAAGTATGGCGGGGCACAGTGGCTCACGCCTGTAATCCCAGCACTTTGGGAGGCCGAGGCAGATCACGAGGTCAAGAGATCCAGACCAACCTGGCCAACCTGGTGAAAGCCCATCTCTACTAAAAAATACAAAAATTAGCTGGGCGTGGTGGTGCACACCTGTAGTCCCAGCTACTCGGGAAGCTGAGGCAGGAGAATTGCTTGAACCCAGGAGGCGGAGGTTGCAGTAAGCCGAGATTGTGCCACTGTACTTCAGCCTGGCACCTGGCGACAGAGCAAGACTGTCTCAAAAAAAGAGGCCAGGCGCAGTGGCTCACGCCTATAACCCCAGCACTTTGGGAGGCCGAGGCAGGTGGATCACCTGAGGTCAGGAGTTTGAAACCAGCCTGACCAAAAAGGTGAAACCCCATCTCTATTAAAAAAAAAAAAAAAAAAAGGAAAAGTTAAAGTATGAAGTGGCCATGCACAGTAGTTCATGCCTGTAATCACAACACTTTGGGAGGCCACGGCGGGCAGATCACTTGAGGTTAAGAGTTCAAGACCGCCGGACGCAGTGGCTCAAGCCTGTAATTCCAGCACTTTGGGAGGCCGAGGCAGGTGGATCACAAGGTCAAGAGATCGAGACCATCCTGGTCAACATGGTGAAACCCCGTCTCTACTAAAAATACAAAACATTAGCTGGGCATGGTAGCGCGTGCCTGTAATCCCAGCTACTCAGGAGGTTGAGGCAGGAGAATTGCCTGAACCCAGGAGGCAGAGGTTGCGGTGAGCCAAGATCGCGCCATTGCACTCCAGCCTTGGTAACAAGAGTCAAACTCTGTCTAAAAAAAAAAAAAAAAAGAGTTCAAGACCAGCTTGGCCAACATGGTGAAACCCCATCTCTACTAAAAATACAAAAATTAGCCAGGCATGGTGACAGGTGCCTGTAATTCCAGCTACTCAGGAGGCTGAGGAAGGAGAATCACTTCAACCCAGGAGGCAGAGGTTGCAGTGAGCCGAGATCATGCCACTGCACTCTAGCCTGGGCAACAGAGCGAGACTCCATCTCAAAAAAAAAAAAAGAAAGAAAGAAAGAAAAAGCATGAAGTAAATAACAGTAAGGGTAGTACAAGCTATAGAAAAAAAAAAAACACAAAGATGTTCTAAAACTGTCTGAGGTTTGAGAGACATAATACTATAGCACCATGCAGCTTCATTTTCAGTTTCGTCTATGAAACTAGGGTCATCTAGCATTGCAGAATAAAACAACAGACTAAGAATCTTGAACCTGTAGTTGGGTGTGGTAGTGCTTAGGAGGCTGAGGAAGGAGGATCACTTGAGCCCAGGAGTTTGAGGCCACACTGTACTGTGGTCATGTCTGTGAACAGCTATTGCACTCTAGCCTGGGCAACATAGCAAGATCCTGTCACTAAAAATATAATAAAATCCTAGACCTGGGTTTCAGCCTAGATATGTCACCAATACCTTTATGAACTTGGGCATTTCATTTGCTCTCTCTGGGCCTGTTTCCTCATCTTAAAAAAAAAAAAAAAAAAAAAGGAAAATGAGATAGTGATTTAATTGAATTAGTACAGCGATTTCTTAACTTTTGACCCAATAATTCCACTTTGGGAACTCTCTCCCAAGAAAATAATCCAAAATTAGAAAACAGTTATAAGAACAAAGAAATTTACCAACATCTAAAAAATAAAACTTTCTAAATATTCAGCAATGGAAAAGCAGCTAAATAATTTGGAACACATAATTATTGAGAGTATTATGCATTCATTAAAAATGTGTTGGCCAGGCATGGTGGCTCACACCTGTAATCCCAGCATTTTGGGAGGTCAAGGGGGGCTGATCATGAGGTCAGGAATTCAAGACCAGCCTGGCCAACATGGTGAAACCCCATCTCTATTAAAAATACAAAAATTAGCTAGGTGTGGTGGCACGGGCCTGTAGTCCCAGCTACTAGGGAGACCGAGGCAGGAGAATCACTTGAACCCGGAAGGTGGAAGTTGCAGTGAGCTAAGATCAAGCCACTGCACTCCAGCCTGGCAACAGAGGGAGACTCCATCTCAAAAAAAAAAAAAAAATGTATTATGAAGATGACACAGCAACATGCCTCTGAATGGAAAACGAGAATATGTTTACATACTATGGTTATCACTATATTAATAAAAAACGTATGCAGGTAACAAATCTGCCAAAATACGAATGGTTGGTAAGGATAAAAACTTCTCTGTTTGTACTTTCAAAATTTTCTTTTCTGAGGAGAAAAAAAAAAATTCTCCAACAGTTAAATTACATTTAAACTGAAAAGAAAAACAATTTCAGAATTAAGGAATTCAACTAAATAATCTCCAGGATTTCCTTCAGGCCCTAATATTCTGTGGTTTTTCTCTGGAACTAGGAGTAGAGGACAGGCAAGAGTAAAAATGTTAGAAATGTTTAGATGGCAGGGGCTGTGCTTGCTTAAATTACTTTGACAGCACTCAAAACAGCACATGAGAACATTTGAAAAGCAGCCGTTGGGGAAATGACGCAACACCCTCTATCTGTGTTGCAGAAGTCTGAGAAGGAGACCTGAATTGAGCCATATGATCTCTAAGGGTCCTCTCCAAACAGCTTATCCAACCACTTGTTGAACAAACATTTACCAAATGCCTACCATGTGTCAGGAACCATGTAGCTGAATGACTACTGAACCAATGGTTCAGAATCTAGTGGAGGAGAAAGATTTTATTTTAGTTTGCTAGGACTGCCATAACATAATACCACAGACTGGGTGGCATAAACAAGAGAAATTTATTCCTCACAGTTCTGCAGGCTGGATATCCAAAATCAGGGTGCCAGCACAGTTGGATTCTGCCAAGTGTCCCTTTCCAGGTTACAGACAGCTGACTTCTCATATTGTCACAAGGTGGAAAGAGAATGAAAGAGCTCTCTAGTATCCTTTTTTTTTTGAGATAGAGTCTCGCTCTGTTGCTCAAGCTGGAGTGCAGATGCATGACCTCGGCTATCTGAAACCTCTGCTTCCCGGGTTCAAGCAATTCTGCCTCAGCCTCCCCACTAGCTGGGACTACAGGCAGCATGCGCAACCCCATCCAGCTAATTTTTGTATTTTCAGTTGAGATGGGGTTTCACCATGTTGGCCAGGCTGGTCTCAAACTCCTGACCTCAAATGATTCACCAGCCTCGGCCTCCCACAGTGCTGGGACTACAGGCATGAGCCACCATGCCTTTTTTTTAAAGGGTCTAGGGTACCTTTTAATTTTGTGTGTGTGTGTGTGTGTGTGTGTGTGTGTGTGTGTGTGTGTGTAGACAAGGCCTCGCTACATTACCCAGGCTATCTTGAACTACTGCCCTCAAGCGATCCCCTGGCCTCAGCCTCCCAAAGAACTGGGATTACAGGTGAGAGCCACCACAGCTGGCCTACGTCCATTCATAAGGGCTCCACCTTCATGACCTAAATACCTCCCAAAGGGCTACCTCCTCACACTATCACACTGGGGATTAGGATTTCAACATATGAATTTGAGGGGGGCACACTTTCAGTCCATAAGAGCTGCCTTCATGCTGTGTCCTCACATGTTCCTCTGTGCACACGTATCCCTGGGTTCTTTTTGTGTGTACAAATCTCCTCTTCTTATAAGGATGCCAGCCAGACTGGAGAAGGGCCCACCATAACAGCACAGCCTCACTTGAGTCACCTCTTTAAAGGCCCTATCTCCAAATACTGACATTCTGAGGTACTGGGGCTTAGGGATTCAACATGTGAATTTTGGGAGACACAATTCAGTCCATATAAGATTTCAAAAAACATCATTACAGTGCAATAACAGAACTGCATTCAAACACAAGGGGAACTACATGAAGGCATAATTCATTCTGACAGGAAATATCAGAAACTCCCATAAAGGAGGTGTCATCTGAGCCTAGTTCTTGAGAATCTCTTTTTTTTTTTTTTTTTAAGATGGGGTTTCACCATGATGGCCAGGCTGGTCTTGAACTCCTGACCTCAGGTGATCCACCCACCTCAGCCTCCCAAAGTGCTAGGATTACAGGCGTGAGCCACCACGCCTGAGAACCTCAAGTCTATAAACCATCATCCTTGATTGTCATAGGAGTGTGTGTGTGTGTGTGTGTGTGTGTGTGTGTGTGTGTGTTTCGGAGACAGAGTCTTGCTCTGTTGTCAGGCTGGAGTGCAGTGGCATGATCTCAGCTCACTGCAACCTCCACCTCCTGGGTTCAGGCAATTCTCCTGCCTCAGCCTCCCGGATAGCTGGGACTACAGGCTTGTGCCACCATGCCTGGCTAATATTTTGCATTTTTAGCAGAGATGGGGTTTCACTGTGTTAGTCAAGATGGTCTCAATTTCTTGATCTTGTAGTCTGCCTGCCTTGGCCTCCCAAAGTGCAGGGATTATAGGCATGAGCCACTGCACCCGGCCTGCCATAGGAATATTTTAAGTATCAAAAATTGTAGATAAGATAGAATCAGAGACAGGCGCTGTGACTCACGCCTGTAATTCCAGCTCTTAGGGAGGCAGAGGTGGGAGGATAGCTTGAGACCAGGAGTTTGAGACCTGCCTGGGCAATATAGCAAGACCCTGTTCTCCACACACACAAAAAAAGACAAAAAAAAAAGTGTAAGGTAGAATCAGAAAATAAAACAAACTCAGAGGCCAAAAGAAGAATGTATTTATTCCAGAGGAACAAAGGTAAATACCATCATTTAATAGTTAAACTGGGACTCTGGATTCACATACAGCAACTTTTTGGGCTGGGTGTGGTGGCTCATGCCTATAATCACAGCACTTTGGGGAGGCCAAGACAGGCGAATTGCTTAAGCCCAGGAATTCGAGACCAGCCTGGGAAACATGGCAAAACCCCGTCTTTACAAAAAATGCAAAAAATTAGCCAGGAGTGATGGTGCACACCTGAAGCTTCAGCTACCCAGAAGACTGAGGTGGGAGGATTGTCTAAGCCCAAGAGGTCCAGGCTGCAGTGAGGCAGGATTGCACCACTGCACTCCAGTTTGGGTGACAGAGTGAGACCCTGTCTCAAAAAAAAAAAAAAAAAATACAGCAACTTGGAGATCAAGTGAAGATCTTAGTTTATGGAATAATCTCCTTCTTGCTCTCACTCTTTTAAGTCATGACGATTTTAACGTAGGGGGCGAGGGAGAGGGGAGGTTTTAACAAACACTTACCTTTTATCCTCTCTTCCATCTAGAAGCCATTCTCTCTCCACCTACCTTCAGCTAAGCTTTTCTCTAGGTCAGATTTTTTTTAGTCATTAAATTTTTTAATATGCTTACGTAGAGGCCAGATTTTTAACCTCAATTCCTTATCCATTAAAAGACCCCTTGGCCAGGTGCAGTGGCTCTCGCCTGTAATCCCTGCACTTTGGGAGGCCGAGGCAGGTGGATCACGAGGTCAAGAGATCTAGACCATCCTGGCCAACATGGTGAAACCTCGTCCCTACTGAAAAAAAAAAAAAAATTAGCTGGGCATGGTGGTGTGCGCCTGTAATCCCAGCTACTTGGGAGGCTGAGGCAGGAGCATTGCTTGAACCCAGGAGGCGGAGGTTGCAGTGAGCTGAGCTCGAGCCACTGCACTCCAGCCTGGCGCCTGGTGACAGAGCGAGACTCTGTCTCAGAAAAAAAAAAAAAAAAAGAGACCCCTCAGCTGGACACAATGGCTCTCACCTGTAATCCTAGCACTTTGGGAGGCCAAAGCAGAAGAATCACCAGAGCCCAAGAGTTCAAGACCAGCCTAGGCAACCCCAACTCAAAAATATAAATTAAAATAAAATATTTGTCTCTTGAAGTCACCTAGATTCCTGAAGTAAAAATGGAAAAATAGTACTGTGCTGACCTAGGTAGCACAATGCTGGGGGGACCATTTCTGTTGGCCCCTTCCCTTTCCAGTATCTGGATGTGACCTGTTTCCTTCCAACAGGGGTCGCCAGAGGCCATAGGGACCAAGGCCAGGCTTCTAGGAGGTGGCTCCAGGAAGGCGGCCAAGAATGTGAGTGCAAAGGTCAGTAACTCAGCATCAACAATTATGATGGCATCACCATGACCCCAGCTTTCTCCCTGGGGCCCCTCTGAGACCAATGCAGATGTTATCTCAGCTGACCTCACCCATTCCCCTCTCCACCAGCCTGCCACATGCAGCACCCGTGCTTGCTTTCTTCCTGACAGTCAGGCAAGAACTGGACTCCTCCAAGGTCTAGGGAAAGCCCGCCAAATGTCAAGCTGCCCCCTGCCCCTTATCCATTTCCTGAAGAACCCAGGGCTACCGTCCAAAAGGCTTTTTATTTTTTCCTGGCCTTCCAAAAGCTTCCTGAATCCTATTCTCAGCCTTGTTTTACTCACAGGCAAGGCTGAAAGCAGAGAGGCAAAATGGCTTATCCGAGGGAAGGCAGCCACTGGAAGGCAGACACCCATGTCTTGCTCCTAGTTCTTTGGATTCATGATATTCTGATACACCCTTTAAACCTGCCACCAAACCCTTGGCCAAACAGGTCAGGAAAAACAACTCAGAAATACTGGCTTCAAATAGCTGGATGTCCCCACTATTCTGAATTGATCCCTTTTCCCACCCCACTGCAGTAGAAATGCAAGGCCCAGAAGATGCCAAGTAAAGCTCTGTCCTACTCCCTCCTATCAAATCTATTAACTCTCCCATCTAAGCAGCAATGCTATTATTTCAGATTGGTTCCTGAGAGGCCCTAGAAGAAAACTCATGACAGCGTCTGTGCTGCCAAAGAAGCAGTGTCCCTGTGATCATTTCAAGGGCAATGTGAAGAAAATAAGTAAGCTTCCAGAGAATGATTTTCCTTATACCAGAGTCACTCCGTGGAATTACTAGGGATGAAGCATGGGTTGAGAACAGAAAAAAGAGGTGAAATTAAGACCAGGATAAGTACACAACTCAGCCCTTTCTACTCAGTGTCAACTTGCCAGGAAATGGGAAGAGCAGGAAAAGCAGGATACAATTCTCCTGTTACTAGAAAGGTTTAACCAAATTCTTAGATTTTAAAACCTCACTGTTTACCAAAGTGGGGACAGATGGGGCTGCTGAAGGTCTGGTCATTAGTCTCTGATGATTACACCAGTATCAGCATCAAACAGAATTTGACTCCTCCCTGGTTCAAGATCAGCCTGGTCAACATGGCGAAACTCCATCTCTACTAAAAAATACAGAAATTAGCCAGGCATGGTGGCACACACCTGTAATCCCAGGGAGGCTGAGGCAAGAGAATCACTTGAACCCGTGAGGTGGAGGTTGCAATGAGCCGAGATTGCACCACTGCACTCCAGCCTGGGCAAAAAGCAATATTCTGTCTCAAAAAAAAAAAAAAAAAAAAGTGAGATATCACTGTACAATCATCAGAATGGCCAAAAGTTTTAAGTCTGTGACAAAAGTCAATACACATCAAAAACATGTAAAGTCTAATAAGATGAAGCATTGGCATAGTACAGCAGAAAAACTCTCATATGCTGTTAATGGGAGTGTAAAATTGCTGGCAGTGATTTACTAAAGTTTAAGCTAGGTGTAGTCCCGTGACTAAGCAATTCTACTCTTCTACTCTCTGGTATATACTCAAAGGGTATATACGCTTCAATCTACCAGAGACATGTACAAGAATTTCATTGCAGCATTGCTCATAACTGCCTCAAACTAAAAACTGACCAAACATCCTTCAATGGTAGAATGAATAAATAAACTGTGGTACTTAGAACATCATATATCCATGAGAACGAACAAACGTAATAAAATTAATGATTCTTACAAACATAATATTGAGTAAAAAAAAATAAGACATGAGTGAATCACTATAGTATGATTTTAGGTACTGTCTTAGTCTGCTTGCTTTGCAGAATAACATAACAAAATACCATAGATGGAGTGATTTTACAAAATAGAAATTTATCTCTCACAGTTCTG